GAGGGAGAGAGAGGACTTGTGAGGGGGAGTTTGTGAGAGGGTTCACGAAGGTTGCTCCAAGCAAGGTTCCAAGTCATCTTCTCTAATCGTCGTCCCTTTTCCTTAGGGGTTCAAGGGAGGTCTACTTCAGCAAACAGTCAAGGTTCTCTACTTGCTTCAGGAGGAAGCAAAAGGAGTCAAGTTCTCTGCCTCACTGGTGTCGATGGAAAGGAGGTTTTGTAAGGGCTTCTCCACCTTACTGTGGGAGCAAAAGGAGAGTCACTGAGTTTAGTGCAATACTTGGAGGGCGCCTATAGAGAGTGAACACAGGTTATGTTGACTGAACCACTATAAATATTTGAGTTCATTTATTTTCTTCTGCATTTATTTTTTTCGCACTTTAATTATCATTGTGGAGAATTTTGGTTTGATTTTTAAGTTTTTGATTGAAAGAATTTTTAAAATACCAATTCACCCCCCACTTGGTTAGCCTCAGGCTAGTTCATATGGGCTTGACATCCCTAACAAACTTTCAAGTGGTATTAGAGTGGGATTCATAAAAATAAGTTTAAAATCTTTTATAATTGTGATCCATGGATAACTCTGATAATCATAATACTATAGAAGGGTATTCTATTACCCGACCACTTTTGTTTGATAATATTCTTTTTGATTTTTAGAAAACACATATGTCTACAATTTTGCAATCAATTGACTATCATATATGGATGCTTGTTAAGGATGGTTATACACCTTCGACTGGCAAACTTAATGGTGCTACTATTCCACTTCCTTTTACCGAATGGACTCTTGATGATAGGTATTTAGCTAAACTTAATACAAAATGTTTGAACTATTTTTTTTGTACTTTAAAATCTGAAGATTACATGCGTGTTTCAACTTCCACTACTGGTAAAGAGATTTAGTATAAATTGTGTATTACTTATGAAGGAACTAAGGAAGTTAAGTAATCTAGATTGAATATTTTATTGCATGACTATGAACTTCTTTGTATGAAATCTTATGAATCAATTTCTGATATGTATATAAGATTTACTCAAATTATCAAATCATTACATACTTTAAGAAGAGAACTCACTAACTATGAAAAAGCTAATAAAATTTTTAGAAGCTTACCTTCCTCTTTTGATGCTAAGATCACTGCAATTATTGAATCTAAAGATTTGAATACTTATTCGATTGATAACTTGCTTGGATCACTTATTGCTTACGAGCAAAGGGTGAATCAAAGAAATCTTGATATAGGTGAGAAAAAGAAGGAAAAAACTATAGCATTGAAGACCAATGAAATAAATTTTAATTCTTTTGGGTTTGAAAGTGATGATGTTTCCTTCATCACTAGGCAGTTCAAAAACTTTTTAAGGATGAATCACATCATCAGAAATGGGAAAAAAGGTAAGGATAGTAAAAATTATAAATTTTTTTTCTGATGTTGTTTGTTTGGAATACAAGAAACTTGAACATGTCAAGGTTGATTGTCCTACACTTAAGGATCACTCAAGTAAAAAAAAGGATGAGGAGAAACCTAAGTTAAGGAATGACAAGAAGCGATTCCAAAAGGCATTATGGGTAGAGTCTGCATCTGACTCCTCTAAGACTGAGGCAGAGGAGGAAACCACAAACTTGTGCTTGATGGCCGATGATCATCTTGAGCAGTCTAACCAAAAAGAGGTATGCCAACCAACCTATGATCAACTACTTAAAATATGTGAGAACATTCACACATCATATAGAAAACTTAAGAAAATGCATGCTAGTTTGAAATTAGAGTTTTTGAACTTTCAAAAAGAGCATGAAGTCTTGATTAAAGATCACCTCCAATTTGATAGCAATCATATGCCTTTACTTGATGAGTTTGATGAATCAAATAAAAAGCACTATGAATTAGTTATTGAGCATGATTCATTGAAAGCATCCTACACCTCACTTGAATCTGATTATAAGACATGCATTGATAAATCTGATCATAGGTAACATAATTTGAGAGCTGATAATGTAGCTTTATAAAGTGCTAACTCAAGGTTTAAATCTGAATTGAATGCACTTAAGAAAAATAGGATAACATTCACACTTGATCTTAAGCCAAAACCTAGGAAGAGGCATTATAACCCAAATAAATTAGAAAATCCTTTTCATAGTGTTAGATGTTTCTCATGTGGCATGCTAGGGCACATCTCACACACTTACATTGTTCACCATAGTTAATATTGGGTGTGGAGACCAAAATTGCATGTTTCACAGCATAACACAAATGCATTACATTCTTCTTTTCATAAGAGGGGACCCAAACTTGTTTGGGTTCCTAAATATGACGTTTAATGATTTTGCAGGTTTGCTCTCATAAAAGGCCTCGTGAGAGCATGAGGTAATTAGACAACAGAGGCTCATGGATCATAATTGCATGAACTTGCTGCTTAATAAAATTATGAATTGCATGCTTCTACTTTACTGATTGTTGTTATTGCCTGCATTTGTTTTTGTGTTACCTTATCATATTTGCTGTTATAGTTTGGGTTCTTTTTTCTTTATGACATATTGCCTTATTTTTGTTTCTGAAAATTTATAGTCAAGGTTTCACATCTCTTAATCAGTTAAGGAGGAAAACACCATTGATTATTTCATTTTTCTCTAACTTCCTTTAGTGGTGTAATTTTCTTTTCCAAATAAATGTCTATCTCAAATCAACAACTTGACTATGCAATTAAAATCCTTTTCAATCTTGCTACAATAATCTATCTTATATATATAATGTTCAAAGTCTTTATTTTATTTTCAAATTTTTTGAAATGTTGTCATTGCATTTATCATATGATTTTTTATTCTATTTTGTGATTCATTCTTCCTTATATTAGAGTAAGTTTTTCTTTTATAATATCTGAAATATATAATCATAACTGAGAGTATTTAAGAATTTTTGAAAAGGGACATAGCTTGCAAAATTAAATGAAAAAAAAAAAGTGGCCAATGATGCCAAAATTAAAAGATGCACAATGTCGCCAAATTGAAAGAAAAAATTATACATAAAGTGTATCAAAAATCAAAAGAAGTGCAAAGAGCGCCAATCAAATTGACAAGAGGCATAAAATGTGCCCATCAAAAGAAAGCTCATTCCCTTTCAAAATTTTAAATCTTAGAAGAATTCATATGTCATTTGATATTTTTGAAAAGATTGATTTTGGGATTCTTGATCGTAACTAATTACTTTGATATATTTTTTTATAAAATATTTTTCTAAAACTAAGTTTTGAATGGATTTCTTTTTCTTATCCAATTGATTTTTTTTATGATCTTTGTTTTCAAAAGAAGTTTTGCCCTGAGAGAAGTCTGAGTTAGGGATAACAAGATCGATTATGTTACCAATTTTTTGGATTCCAATGATGTTAATTCATTGACTTACAAATCTTTAAAATCAATCACATGGAAACTACGTCATATTCATGCCTTGATAAAAAAAAAAATCCTATGTTTTTGTTCATTTTTATGTCTTTGTCATATCTTATTTTTATCATTTTCACGTGATTTTAATGTTTTTGGGCCTTGTCTGATCATCTCTATTCATCCTCTATTTTAAATTTTTTCTCTTGATGATATGAATATGGTCCTGGACGATCAGTTCAATTCACTTCTAAAATTCATCTGCTGGCTGTTCTGACCTTTCTGCTCTTTATCATCCTAGACGATGCATTATCATCCTGGATGATCTAATCATCTTCTACTTCAATCATTTTTGATCATCCTGGATGATCCTCTTTCATCCTGGATGATGCCTTTACTTTTTGCTCAATTATTGGTAATCATCTCGTACAATCCACTTGTTTATCCTGGACAATACACGTGGAAATTTATTTAATAAGCCTTAAATTCAGCCGGTACGATCCATTATTGGAGAATCATCTCGGATGATCCACCTCTTTGTCCTAGACAATACACGTGGCAGTGCATTTAAATGTTTTAAATTCAGTCGGTACAATTCATTATTATTCATCATCTTGGACGATCCACCTAATCGTCCTGGATGATATACTTTTTCAACGGTCGTTTGGATTATCTCCTCGGGATGATCGCCTATGTCTAATCATCCCAGACCAAATATGATCCTCTCGGATGATATTACCGCCTTTTTTTACTAATCATCCAGCCGCAATTATTACATCATATCATCCTGGATGATCTTGCAATCGTCCTAGATGATTCGGCTGATTCTTTAAATTCAGAGCCCCTCCACCCGATTTTCTCACACAATCTCCTTCTTCTAGCCTTCTACTTCCCCTTTCTTACTATTCATGATCATGGCAGGAGGCAAGCACTCTTGCCACCCTTTTGGGAGTTCCTCTAGGGCTACTCTTGACCCTCACTTCATTGAGGCGGAAGATCAAGCCACCTACCAATGGTACAAGACGGCCATAATTACTATCTCCTGGACCATCAACCCAAACATTCTATCATATCCGGTACTCGACCTCTTTGCTCACACCTCCCTGTGCTTTCTCCTTACTCTTTCTGTACCATTCAACACTAAGCTGCTTTTTAAATTTTTGGGAGTCTCCGTATAAATTCTACCTTTATTTCTCTTGGATCATATGTGAATTGACGCCCCGTCGAGATCACATACCAAGACTATGCAAAATTTTTACAATATTCCACCCTAAGGGATAAACTTCACACCATGTGTTCTGACCCTGATTATGATTGGGTTACGGCCAACCACTTTCTTCAAAATTCAAATGCTCACTTTCACATGGGCGAGACTATCACCTTGCTCAAAGTTGCTAGGAACATCTAGCATGTCCTTTGAACATCAATAATTCCAAAAGCTAGTGATCGCATCCACATTACTCCTCTTCTTTTGATCACCACCTTTTATATTTTAGCCCATCGCGAATTCAATGCTATTGATTTGCTTTTTCATTACATTGAACATCTGACCACTATTCGTGACCCAGTCTATAAGAGGAAGCTAAATCTAGCCCTAGCAAATATCATTGCCTACGTTTTAGAATCTAAATATAACCTCCAATATCCTTCTTCTCCAAATTTCCAGCCTGCTTTCTACTCCAACAACTCCTTTCATATTCTTCATAGTTCTCGTCTCCACCCGGGGCATGAGGAAGCCGAGGGAGCTGAGGAGGAGGAGGCTCCCCTACCTGTTCCTGCACCTGCTCCATTTTGCCAGCACTCTCAGCTAGATGAGTTGGTGGAGCAATTTGACTAGTGAGATGTATGATTTGAGACTTATATTATTGCATAGGAGCAGCAACATACTGAGGACTTATCCTATTTTAAGCAGTGACGTGCTGAAAACTTAGCCCATTTTGACACCTATATTGCACACCAGCAGTAGCAGCACGACTAAGATATGGCCTAGTTTGGAGCACAGTTCATCTCGCTATTTAGCTACTTTCAGCAGCCACCACCACCACCTCCTCTTTTAGATAATTAGGGGCTGTCATTTTACTAGTTTCTTTTATGCTGCTTTTTCATTGTAGTTTGTTTCTATTTTTTGTTGTTTAGTTTCTATTTTATTTCTATTTTACTTTTCTCCTCCTTTTTGAGATGTCAAATGGGGGAGTAGTCTGTTGCACTGTTTGCTTTGTAATTTGATTCTATTATTTAGTTGATCTGTGTTTTCATTAAATTGCATTAACTACTTAGAGTTTTTTTGTGTTTGCCATTATCAAAAAGGGGGACATTGTTGCATATCTTTTTTTAGAAATAGAATTTTAATGATTGCAAACACTTCTGTTTTACTACGACTGCTTGCCTATTAACATTTCAGATATACATGATCAAGACTGTAATTTGAACCAGCTCAAGATTGGGTATACTAGGTCTGAGTCAGTTTATAAACCTTTTCCTTTCTTGAGTCTATTTATAATAAATGTGGTTCTTGATGCTAAGTAACCTTACACACACACACATGGGGGGATTTTTTTTTTATCTGATTTAGAGTTCTCCGTTCTAAGGACATCATCCAAGACAATCCAAATATCATCCTGAACAATCAGTTAAAAATAGAAACCCTAATGAGGGCATCCATGTTAAGGTAGCCATCATTAAGCACATTGTCCTGGCCAATATGTGTATCATCCGGGATGATATGCTCAAATCAGAAAAAATTAGCTGCCAAATCTATTTAGGTATTATTTATTTTTGGACATTATCCAGGACATCATCCTGGATGATACACACAATTATGCCTAAATTAATCTGGTAATTAAGGAAAGTAATTAAGGCTTGATTGATATGATCACATCGTCCTACAATCGTAGGATCATCCGGGAAAATCAGTTCAAAATACCTTAGTTGCTTTTAGATGATCAACATCAGATAGCTTTTATTCAGAGCAATGCTCTGGACGATTGTCATGTATTTGAACTAATCGTTCAGGACGATCGTGAGATCGGCCTGGACAATCAAGCTATTTTTTCATAGTCCAGACAAGCATTTAGAGCGATTTTCTGGCCGATATTCTATAATTTGAACTAATCATACATGATGATATTGAATCATCCTAGATGATATGAACAAAAACCTTCTAATCATTCCAAATTGTCCTGGCTGATTGAGCTTAATTTGCACTTATCGTACAGGATGATATTAATATCGTCTTAGATGATAAAGTCTGCAAGTTGTAATTAATGAGCTATTCTAAAGCTCTTATATTTAAAATCTCTTATATCACCCATGAGGGCATCTTTTTCTGTTGTCTTGACCTAAGAGAGCCTAGAGAGAGGGAGAGAGAGGGAGAGAGAGAGGAACTTGTTAGGAAGAGTTTGTGAGAGGGTTCACAAAGGTTTCTCCAAGCAAGGTTCCAATTTATCTTTTATGATCGTTGTCCATTTTCCTTTGGGGTTCAAGGGAGGTCTACTTCAGCAAATGGTCAATGTTCTCTGCCTGCTTTAGGAGGAAGTAAAAGGAGTCAGGTTCTCTGCCTCACCGGTGTCGGTGGAAACGAGGTTTTGTAAGGGCTTCTCCACCTTGCTATGGGAGCAAAAAGAGAGTCACTGAGTTTAGTACAATACTCGGAGGGCGCCTCCGAGGAGTGGGCGTAGGTCGTGTTGACCTAACCACTCTAAATCTTTGAGTTCTTTTGTTTTCTTTTGCATTTATATTTTCTGTACTTTGATTATCATTGTGGTGAATTTTTGTTTGAGTTTTGAGTTTTTTATTGAAAATTTTTTTAAAATACCAATTCACCCTCCTCTTGGTTTGCCTTAGGCTAGTTCATAAGGGCTTAACATCCCTAACAAACTTTCATCTTTAAAATCAATAATAAAACATTAATACCTAAATTCAAATTAAAATTCCTTAAACCATTCAACTAGTCAGAATAGTAGAAACCTTTAACAAATTACCTGTTATTGGACATATCCAAACAACACAACCTATCTCGTACACTTTAGATGATTTTCTAGGACAACCAACTTTAGTTTTAGACTAGGTTAGTATTTACTTTTATGCTATTTGTATGTCGAGTTTTCCATGATTTTCATTATATGCTGGTTGTTAGAATTAAATGATGTGATTATTTATTTATCTATTTATGCAATATGTGAATTTTTGTGATGGGCGTTAGACTACTCGTAGGTTAGAAAAAATATGAATGCTTACTTAATCTTCTGCATGTGGCCATGCTCATATAGGGTTAAAAATCAAATAAAAGTGGGAAAAAATATTAAGCTTGTAATTAACAAGTTTCTACAAGTGCTTTAATTGCTAAGTCTCCCTTTTAATTAAAAAGAGCTTGGCTAAGCATAGCTATGAATAAAATTTAAGCATTTTAGTATATTTAACAATTTGGAATTTGTTATTGATTTCAATATTAATTTCTTAGGAGAACCATGAAGTTGATATGTAGTTTTTTTTGTTTTTGAGTTTTTAATGTAATTTAATCAAGTCAAGTGTTGCAATGTAAAAATAATTTTGAGGTTGGATACAAGTTATCAAACCTAAAATCCAAAGAGAGTGGTAACATCTCTAAGGAGAGAGTTCCTCTTCATTTAAAGATCTAGGTTAGGATACTTTCAAATTTTCAAAGAGAAAAAAACACCATTTAGGGAGGAGTTCTTTTCTTTTGGATATTCAGACCTGATGGATCCAAGATGCTTGCTAAATGATGAATGATTAAAGAAAGAGATGAATCCAACACTCAAAATCACTTGAGTCAATCTTCTATGTTGTTGTTAGTGGTACCCGACCACTTTTAAATTTTGTAGATACTAGTTATAATATTAAGTGACAGTTTCCATATGGATATTAAATTTATTTATTTGATTTAATTTATTTATATTGATTGTGAAGTAGAAAAGACATTTTTCTACCTTTTTTTGATTGCATGATAGTTTTGTTTTAGTCAGAATGATCGGAGGCTCAAGAGGGTATGTTAAAAAATACTTCAACTCAAATAAATTAAAAATTTTAAGCTCACATAGAAACTCTAACAACTTAAGAAGTGAGCTTGAGATCATCGAGAGTTCTCATGCATATATCATAATACTTTGTCTACCTTGTTAGGCACCTCCCCGCCTGCGGGTTCTAGCAGACAACCTAACCAATTATGATGTAGTTCTGTTAAGGGGGTGGTATATAATCTTTAGGATAAAACCTATTTTTAAGCCTGATTTTAAAATTGTTTTATATCATTTTTATGCATTTATTGAATCAATTAATATGAATTACATTAAAAACAAATTTAAAGAGTTAAATTTTAATTACATTTTTTTAAGCATCAATTACCCTCTTGCATAAAGCAACATCCCTACCACTCTTACAGTTAGGAGCAGCTCTATATATCATCCTTATTTGTTAAACTTAATTAAGCAACATCCTTACCAATCTTGAATAAAAGATTGGACTCATAGATTTATGTGCTTAGGTGGTTAGCTGGCTTCTCAATCAATGCTAAGGCAAGTCCAAGTTTTGCACTACATTAGCTAGGTTTGGGCCACTTTTATTTAGTGCCCAAATTAGACTTAGGATTTGGGGTAGACTTAAATCATAAGTCCCCACCCTTCGAGAATTTGATCAAAGTTTCTAATAAATTAATAACTAAAATCAAAATATCTCCTTAACCTAAAATTTAAAGCCCAACATATAGGGTAGAACATGAAATTTTTGAAATGTTTTAGAATCCCAAAATGAATCCTACTTATCCTTCGTTGACCTCTAAAAATTAGTGCTTAAATTTGATCCAATCCTGAATGAAAATTTAAACCTCACTTCCTTTGATATCCCTCTTTAAAAATCTCAAGAACAAAAATTATACTGTTATTTTAATCAAGAGTTTTGTAGGAAACTTAGGTTTCCTACAATGTAATTAACTACGAGGGCTTGAGCTAGTAGGAAATTAAGAACCCAGATCAATTTTTAAAATCAAAATTAAAAAATTTAATTAATTATCTTTGGGAAAATAAAAGTCAATGATCATTATCGTCATATTCAAATGATTGTTAATGAACAATATCTTCTTTTTCTTGGAAGATATGTCATTTTATTATCATGACTTTATTTATGAAGTTAACAGTAATTTATCTAAATTATTATAGTCAAACATTTGATCAAATATTATTTTGACCCTATAGGGTCATTTGTGATTTTCCCCTAAATTTGACCAAGATAATCAGGATGAACTTATAATTTTATAATCTAAAACTATTAGGGAGTGTCCTAAGATGATATATCATTTATAATAACATGTTTGATTTCAGAACCTAAATGCTGGAAAATTAACTTTTCCTAAAAAAAATGACTTTTTAAAACTTATTTTTAAACTAAGTTTTTCAACCAAACAAAAAATGGTGACTCTACTAGGGATAATTATCTATCCTCATCTTTGATAAAGTTAAAATTATCTTATATCAGTAGTTTTGACTGCCTTCTTTTTAATGGTCTCTCTACCCATTTCTTTCTTGGGTGAGTATAGCCAATATAAAAAACAGTTGCTAGAAGAGAAGTGAGTGAGGAAAGCTCTATCAAATCTAAGCCTTGACATTTTCCCCCAAGTTAATTGGTGGAATGAAAGAATTAAGGCAAACTTTTAAGATCTTCCTTCCAATTTTATCAACCTGCGTATTTGAATAAAACTCATTTTGTTGAGTTTCAAAATTTGAAGAAGATTCTTTCAATTTGAACTTCAAGTTCAAAGTTCAATTTTAAT